CAGCTCCGATGTTGTGGTATTCAGTGGATATCTTTCTGGCTAGCTGTGGGTTGTCTGTCGGGCTGTAATTGCCGATTCGTTCGTTGCGGGTGGTAATCAACATTTTCTCGCGAAGTACTTCCAGCCGCTACGTCTGCGGATCTGGTTGGATGGGCCCCATTCTTGATTCATTCGCTAGTCGGGGCTCTCTTTGTACCACCTTCCATCACACTCTGATGCACGTTGAGACCATTAGATTTCTAGATTCCCAGGTACGCTTGTATTGAGTTCATGTCTCTTTACACGTCGTGCTTTGTTGTGCTCACCACCGGCTAGGATGGACAGGTTTGTGTCAAGAAAATGCGAAAACTGAGGGTATCACGATCCGACGTTTTAGACCCCAACTCACTGCGTCAGCAGAGTGCAACTACTGGCTGACGTTATCCGGTGGGGTTGACCATTGTGCTGGCGCAGTGAGTTAGTCGCTATCACCGGCGTGGTTTGGACCCTGTGGTCTGAGGTTCGAGCCCCATCACCACCTCCCAACTTTGGTGGTAGGCAGCTTTGCTATCTTCCGGTTCAGTACCACACCTAACCCAGTGAGGCCTTATGTGATTCGTCACTCCAAGTCCCGAGGCGTAGGCTACCGGTTTTCATCACTGTAGGTCCTCGTGACTGTGTGGTTTACTCGGTCAGTGTTCATCATACTATGGTCAGTAATGAAAAAGCTAGTGCGTTTAGAAAGGCATATGACAAGCTTTTTGAGACAGCGTACTGCAGTCCAAAGACCTTTGTTTTGTACGTTTAGAACACTCACTGAAGCACATAGAGTCAAGGATTGCTCTAAAAGGATCAGCACTCTTGTACGGAACCCCGCCATTTGTATTTTATTGCGATGTGGTCAATCTAAGTTAATTCGAAGATGGCGAATGCTACGTGATATACCGGTGCTTGGAGCTTCTTAATCTAGTACAGGAGAGCAAAAGATGATGATCCGAACAGAGTCGAGAACCGTTCCCCATTTTTGAGAGACAGCAATCTTGCGCAAAATGATTTCGTTGAGGCGCCTCTTTAAAAAACGGTTGACCTTTTCTAGCATTCATATCTCTTGTTAAAAACATGATATCAGCTCAGTGCGCTTCAGGTAGGAAGTCGCGTAACGTTTGCTGAGAAATAAATCTTTGACTGTACCTGGACTGTAGTCAGTGGATACCTACACCCAGACGAAAAATATATAACATCTATCGAGCCAATGAATGCTGATTTTGCACGAACGCGGAAGTCCCACAGAACATAACCGACTTTCGACTGAAATTCAATCCAGTGACAGCTTGAAGCCTCTCATCAACGGACACGCAAATGCCAGAAGAACAACAAAACCACTACCTACATAAGTTGAAATGAAAACAAATATCCTTTTAGTGCCAGAGATAGATGGGCTAGATCAACCAATATCAAAATTTGCCCCAGATAGGCCTGGCTCGTTTTCAAACGCAACTCGTTTACTCGGGCAGAATGTGTTGTGTATGTCATAATAGTCTTGGTCCAAAGTGCACTCAGTCGATCAGTAGATGCAAAGTGTTTTCTTTTGTAGCCTCACGAATGCGGATTTCAAATGCGGTGTTCGGATAACCTCAGTATGAGCGGGAGTGGGTGTCTCGGGTTGCGGCTGGACACCCCTCTCTTGCACCTCACAAAATGCTCCCATACGACCAAGCGTCCCTAATAGCTTCCGTTGAGGGAACCCTAATCATCGCCTTCGCGTGGCAGAGGTGTTTTCCCACCAATGTGAGAGGACGAAAAGCCAATATCCGGGTCAGTGAACAACTGGCAATTCACCTGGGGGAGTTGGCTAAAAACTCCGATTCCAAGCCAACCACACACCTTTGTGGTCATAGTAGTGGTTCACTGGGCACCGAGGTATACTGGTCATATTCAAAGTTTGACCCCGACCAAAGGGCGTATGATCCGATGAACTGGACACCAGCCCCCAACGGATTGCGGTTTTCACACACCGCCCCGCTGCCTTGCAGGTCAGGCTTTGGCTAGCCAGACTCCGGTTGTGGATTCCTCAAGAAAATTCACCTGCCTTGGTCTCGGCAACCTGACAGTATTTGGCCCACATGCAAATCATGTAACGGTTTTCTTTTTATAAAGATTATTGTACCGTGATTTGTTCGGCTCACAGTCCTAATAGAGGCGTGTGAAAATGTAATATATAACCGTTCGGTGATAGAGATATCCAGGTACGGTACGTGCTTTGCACCATCCAAGTTCAAAATGTTTATTCAAGACTGGCACGAGCATGCACCTGCACTCACCCGCCCTCTGTGGTGATCAGTTGAAATAAGTTGACCTTGCAGCTTGAAAGTGCAAACAGAGGATCGAGGCAATCATGAAAAGCACATATTTTGATAATGGACATAAACTCCTCCTCAACTGCTCTCCATGCACCAGAGCTCAAGATCAACATCCCCACACAGAACAATCGCACTCAACAGCAGTGTAATCGACTGCATGAAGAAGTGCTCTTGGACCAGGGAAGCTGAAAATACTGTACCCGCATTCGAGTAGGACATGTATGTACAATACTAATGTAAATTCGATAGTCAGTGGAGAATAATTCTCACAGGCAGCTTTGATGCAATGCCAATCAGGTAAACTCTCCTGATTTCACAAGAGTTTGAAATGATCATGCGGCCTGAAGCTCCCAAAACTGAATAAACAATTTCCTGACAATTCTTGCTTCATTTTCTTCCTGGTTTTCGTGCCACGCTGCTAATATATGTACACGTGTTGCGCATCTTCATGTTTTTTATTACACATTAGTGTGTGATGAACAGCAGAGGGGGGGCGGACCCCGAAAACCTGTTGTTCAGTAATGGTAACCGGGCTTGAAGTGAAGAACCACATAAGGCCCCGCTAGGTTCGCCGTGGTATATAACTGGGCTCGAACCTCAGACCACAGGGTTTAAAGCATCCCGATGACAGCGACTAAACCACTGCTCCATCACCATTCATCTTCATCAAGCTCGTGGAAGAGGTCTGGTTTTGAATACCGTTCGTCACTTTTTCACCCGAGTTCACCACGGAAAGTGGTGTTCATCAGGGTTGACCTCTCTCTCCTTTTCTATTCAACTTTGCTATAGATCTGATTATGGAAACAGCCCTATCCTCTTGTGAGGATAGTGGCATCAATTCACTCCCAAGTGGCAGGCTGTCTGTTGTAGAGTACGCAGACGACATTGTGCTACGAAGTGATGATCCAGGTCAGTTGCAAGCTTTTCTGGATAGTTTGAGTGCTACTGTCGCCATGTTCGGTATGCGTTTTGCACCTTCCAAATGCTACTACAAGATTGGGTTGAACCAACACCCAGTCTCACCCTAACCGGGGAAGTAGACAAATTTTGCTATCTAGGCAGCTATATCTCGCTGGCGGACGCATCACAGATGAAGGTTTTGTTGTTTGGGCAGCTACATCTCACCCGGTGGACGCATCACGAATGAAGTGTCGGCGTGCTATCTAGGCAGCTATATCTCACCCGGCGGACGCATCACAGATGAAGTGTCGGCGCGCGCAGGCAGCTATATCTCACCCGGCGGACGCATCACAGATGAACTGTCGGCGCGCATACAAAAAAGCTCGGTTGGCATTTGCCAACTTGAGACATCTGTGGCGCCGTCGCGACATCCGGCTGTCTGTGAAGGGTCAAGTGTATGCTGCAGCAGTTCGGCCAGTCCTGCTCCACGATGCAGAGACTTGGCCAATAAGGGAACAGGATAAAAATAGATTGTCGGTGTTCGAACACCGCTGTCTACGTAGCATTGCGTGTCTGGTGGAGTAACCGGACTAGCAATGCTAAGGTTAGGCGTAGAGTTTTAGGCAGTCGAAGTCGTCCACTAGAGCAAGTGATCGACCTCCACAGATTACGTTGGTTGGGACATGTGCTACGCATGTCACCAGATAGGTTGCCACGGCGAACGATGTTTGCCAAGGCTGGTAGCGATTGAAGAAAAAACCGAAGGGCGGTCAAGCTAAGACCTGGCATGAGGGTATGAAAACCCTAACCAGGAGACTAAGTCACCAACAGAAAACGTAAGAGAGCCTGTCTTGTTTCGCATTCATCGACATAAATAATTCACGCAAAAAATTCCCGTGTATTTCTGCACAGTGAAACAGTCGCACAAGCACGGACTAAAAATGCCGTGTGTCGACTCCGGGGGGTGATGTAATGCATCGCTTCGTCCAGTGATTCTGCTTGTCATGCGAAAAACGGCTGGATTGGTATTACTATTGTGTTGTGGATCGGAGCTCAACTGAACGATCAAATTTTTCGAAGGCAAAACCAATTGGCAGTCAAGAAAATTTTCTATGGCAGGCAAACAAAAACAAGCAACAATTGAAATGTATGAACTGGTCATGTTTCTCGAAAAAAAAACAAAATAAACGGGATTGAATAAAGTATCTGTGTGGATGGAGAGGGAGGAGGATGGACGAAATGGAGAATGAAGAGGACGGATTGGCGGATGGGGGGGCAGGCACAACCTAGCTAACAAGAGCGTCACAACCTATCGAGCATTCGGGAAGACAATGGGGGATAATTAATGCATCCGTTCGCATACGAACAGGAAACTTGTTCGGTCAAAAACTCGCAAGCACACATGCGCGCGCACGCACATACACACGGAACAACAAATGAACTATATTGACAAACAACTGGAACCAGAAAGAACCTTGAAAGAAATAGGAGAAACAAGAGAAAATGAAACGGTGGCTGGTCATGAAAAATGGTAGCCATAGACGGGGGAGGGTTGAGGTGGAAAATAAGGGATAGGGGAACGGAGGAAGGAAGCAAAGGGTCGTCCGAAACAATCTGATTTACAAAAAAAAAGAAATTCAAGCACATCTTTCGCTCTACTGCTTGTGACCCTCCATTTCCCCCTGCTGTCATAATTTGTACATACGGAAAAGAGACAAAATAAAATAAATTCATTTTTGCGCAAATGTTCCGGCCGAATGATCACAGTGGAGGCCAGTCACTTTCGTTGGCAGATGTGATCAGGCCGGTTGTATGGGGCTGAACGGTAGCGGTACGGTTCTCCCAACGCCCGTTCATATTCAGTGCGGAAACATTAGAGAACGGAGGCTGAACGGAAGTAGTGGACAAATGTGAAAGCGGATAGGTCATTCCGGTGGATTGAACGGGACGACCAGACACCGGTTGCCCTGATGACATCAGAGCGGACGAGGAGGATACTGGTGGCAACCACAAAGTGGTCGGGCGCTGAACCCCGGTGGATGCAGTTGCAGCAGGAGCACCGTTGTGACTAGTCCCAAGATAGGCTGGATTCATGTTGGATCGTGTGGTCCCGTTCGATTTGAGCAACTGACGCAAGTCGTTCAGCGTCCAGCTACCGGACTCACCGGATGCACCGATCGCGTTGTTCCCATTCACTTCGGTCGGTGAGACGACCAGTGCACTCGCCTGATGCACGCTGTTTACACGACCGAGAAGACTCTCATTGCCGAATATGTTGCGAAGCAGGGTTAGGGCTTCGACACGTTTGCCCAAAACAAGGAACAGGTACAGTTGAAGCATGAGAGCTGGGAAGGGCAGCACGAGCGGAGTTGTGACGAGACCCGTACCCAATGATGGATTTGTACTATTCATTGTGGTTCCGGCAGAGGAGGACCATTTACGTCCGTCCAATTCCGCAGCGGACAGAGACAGACCGGAGAGAGATGGAAGCAAATAGTATTGGGCCATTGTCCATTCGCGATTGGTGGCCAGTGCACAGGCCAGATTGAACATATGCAAACTGGTGGCCTTGGAACAAGTGGAACAAGAAGCACAGATATTTTTAATAGGATGTTTTTTCAAAAAAAAAACGTGGTGTCCACGGCACAAACATTGTGGAGTGAACATTACAGTCCTGGTCCGGATGTTTTACATCTATCTATGGCCGCATAAACCGTATTCAGACAGTGAATGTCCGATGGTTCTAACCCCAGATGGGAGAATTGGAAAACAAAAAAGGCTGACGAGAAGACCAAATAAAGTGCCTAGTGCATGTGGAACTAGATGGCCTCGGGTAAGCAAAACGAGCTCAGCTTTCCCATTAGTCTTATTTTTTCCACAGAAAGTGATAGTTAATATTAGCGATCACCAGCATCTCGAACGCGCAACGGAAACATTGGAAAACGGTACCTATATTACGGAAAATGGGGTTACCACCATCTGCAACGCAAAGGAATCTGGTTGAAATGGGCGAGAAACACGTAGCTAAACACACCTGTGTAGGAGAGGATGGAAAGTCGATCGGATAGATGGAGGAGTGAGTGTCCATGAAGACAAACGAGTCATTCCCAAAGCGTCCTCGCCGTGCAGCTGCGGGATCTGATCCTTCCTTGGATGCTGCTGCCTTTGCGTCGGGAAAATCCTCGCCCGGATTCACATGCAGCTCGGGCACTAGACAATGTGGGGCCAGACTGACGGACCCGAGTAAGGTGGACAATTCTTCCAGGCAATTCCCGTCAGATAATGGTCTTGTTACTCCGCAAGAAAGGACCGAAAGCGATTCAGGAGCCCTGAAAAGGTTGGACAAACCATTGTAGAAATAACAACGGATGCTGTTGGATATCATGGGATTGGTTAAAATAAATCACAATCGGAGAGAAACGAATTCTTTTCGTTCTTTCACACCTAGTGTAATGGGAATGCAAATTGTCGATTACACTTCTTCAGCAACAGGGCAGTCAACGTATGGAGCAGGTTACCTGTGGATCTAATAGAACTGCCGATCGTGTTAGCATTCAAGACGGCCCTGGATGAACAGTGGCCTGAAATTATTCCTGAAATGAAGGTCTGAGCATCCATCGACGGACTTAAAAAAAAACTAGAAGAGTAAGAGCAAGGCATTCAGGTTGCATGCTTTTGTTTTGCTCCGTGAGTTATTGGAATGTAACCCTTCAATATGAACGCTCAAATATAACAATCTCTCGACTTGGTGGTGAGACGAGGTATCCTTCACTTTTCTTCCTCTTTTCAGTAAGGATCCCCTGTGACTCAGCTGGGAACTTGGAGTGATGAAACACACAAGGCCCCAACACTATGAGTACGGTAACAGGATGGGCGAATGGAAGCGTTTGAAGCAGAGGCGAGCAACAGTATCGACCTAAACCAACCGACCATAAGCGACAGATTCAGTTCCCATTCAGGGATACTTTATAGTCTCAGTTGCTAAAGCTGGTTTCATAAATCGATTAATGGTGGATCTCCCGTTACGTGTCACGAAAACCAATTCAATAAAATGATATGCCAAGGGGATTAAAACCACACACCAGTCCCGTTCGGTCTTGTCAACTGATTTCTGGTTTAAAATGGCTAGGTTCGTTTTACTAACAGTGGAAGCACTGGCCGAAAATTGGACATTGCACGCAATTTTTGAAATGACCGCGTGAAATTGAGTAACTGACTAACCTTGACTGACTTGATCTGTTCGAAAATTAAAAAAAAACAAATTGGGGAAAACAAAACATCGTGTTCGATTGGTCCAACAGAAGAGGGATAATGTGGAAGACCCGTTTGTACTTTACCGCACAGTTGTCGTTTGCTCCGGTTGCTCAGCCATCCCCTCCTCTTCCCTCAGCCAATAAGATGCTATCCCGTACGGAAAAGCGGATTATAAAAACACAAAAGAAGCACAGAAGAGTGGTACCAAGATACCAGGAAAGAGAATGTGTATACTGGATGTGCTCAGATGAATTCACATCACTGTTTACGAGAGTTGTGAATGAAGTGAATAGCAAATCCAAGATACGGAGGATCCAAAAACAAAACAACAAAAAACCCACCGATCGAGCATAATCAGCGCCTCGGCAAAATAGAGTCGAGCCAGATAGCGATACGCGGGTGGAGCGATCAAATACAGCGGATCGTTACCACACACGACCGACGATTTGGATCCAAACGAGGGAGCCGTGGTTGATGAGGTGCTCACTGTCGCGGTATCGGAGTGTCCCTGACCGGTACTACCATGCGAACTGGTCACGGTTCGTATCTCATCCGGAGGTTGTGGTTCCCCCGATGGAGGAATTACATCGGTCACGTTGCGTGTGTGATCAGCAGGCAACAAATGACCGGCACTGGTCAGTGTGTCCACGGGATTGTTCAGACACAGAGCGACATAGGCCGTGGCCAGGTACACGGCAGAAAGTAAATGCAACAAACCGACCCCGCGAATTACCGAAGGCGCGGGCAAGGCAGGTACGCGCTGGAAGAATGAACGGAGGAAGAAAACAGCGGTTCAAAAAGGGCAGTACTAGAAGACGAATGAGAATAGAAGGGAGAAGAAATTGCACCTGACAAAACCAAAGGATAAGACAGAATTTTTGTCATACATCACAGTACGTGGCACGATAGAATGCACATACCCGCACGATAATAATTATATTCGATTACTGTACAAAACAAAAGGGATGATACACTTCAGGAATCAGGTTATTGAGGCACAGGAAGACGTGTATCAGATCAGTCTATCTGTGAAGTGCTCGAATGGTGATTTGTGTGATACCGGCTTCAGGATGGACAATTAATTTATACTTTGATATGCCCGATGGAACAGATTCTCTAGGGAGGGGAGGGGCACATTCGTGCAGACGTACCAATCGGTCTGAGAAACAAACACATGCGGAATCGACACATTAGTTCGCTACAGTCAAACCTGATCGCAAAGACGCCTACACATAGTATACAAGAGCAACCCCAGTTGCTAATCAGACAGGTGATGCACATACGAAACAGTGGGGGGGTGGTGGTGGTTCAGGCGGTTGAGCGATATGAGAAGTATTACCCAGAACACGGTACAGGAACTGTTACCGATTGGACAGTAAAAGAGATGATGTTTACTAAACTGATCAGATGAAATGGTGTGTACAGTTTAGCGTGACACCATTTCGTACAATACTTAAATGACTTTCCGATCACACTCTTCCTCATTTATATATATATATATGCCGTAGTAAGTAGTATATGAATGACTCCATAAAAGTTCC